GGGGGCGAGGGAGACTTGAAGCGATTTACATTTATGTTCAATAAAGCACTGATTGTGGAGTGAGGAAACGTGTATAGTAAAATCATAAAACCAGAAAACAGTTCCAACAAATCTTAGAGATTAGTCCTGCAAGATCTATAACTCTTAGTTATTTGAGTTTTGTTTTTTTGCTTCCTTGTTTTCTTCTGAGACAGGGTCTGGTTAGGTAGTCCAGGCTGGCCTCAACCTTAGCCTCCCAAGTACTGGAATTTCAGGCATGGACCACCACACCCAACTTGGGTGCATTTTAAATACAGTTTTGACACAGATGAGAGACTCCTAGAAGAACCTTATGGATATTATGAATGTGGGGTGTTATAAGCTCAACTCAGGCAAGAGGAAACCTGTTTGAATGTAATCACTGGAACAACCTTCAGTTGTAACAAACTCCATAAGATGCCAGTGGATTCATGGAGGAGAGGTTCTTTTAAGTATAATAAATGTGGAAGGCCCTTGCTAGAAATGCCTCTTCACTGTGCACTGGAGACCCATGCCAGGCAGAATCACTGTAGTTTTAAAAGTGAGCATCCATATTGCTGAGAATTCAAATTCTTTAGCCACACCCTAATTTTAGAGATGATGATCTCTATAGTAAAAATAAATGTGGTAAAGCTTTATTGTGCATCGGAGGACTCATAGAGCAGACAAAGACTGTATTGGGGTCCCAGGGTGGCTGTAACAAATTAACACAAACTGGATGGCTTTAAGCCATTGGGATTTATGCTCTCAGAGGTGAGGAGGCCAGAGTCAGAGCAAAGGTTGAAATTCTTTTGTGGGGGTATCAGCTTCCTGCCTCTCTGCTGGGCTCTGTGGCTTCCCATAGTCCTTGATCTCTCTCTCTCTCTCTCTCTCTCCCTCTTTTCTTTTGTTTCTTTCTTTGTTGGTGGTACTAGGGCTTGAACTCAATTCTATGAACTTTCTAGGTAAGCACTCTACTGCTTGAGCCATACCTCCAGCCCTCTTCTTGGCATTTCATGATGTGTGGCTGATTCATTTCAGTCTGTCTCTCTCCTCAGATGGCTTTCTTCTGTGTCTCTGTGTCCTCCACTCTTCTTATAAAGAAATCATTTGTTGTATTTGGGGCCCACCCTGGTTCGGTGTGACCTTGTCTTAAATGATTACATCTGAAAAGAACCTATTTGAAAATTAGCCTAAATTCTGAGGGTCTGGATGGACATAGACATTGGGAGGGACAATATTCAATCAATTACAAGCCCTGTGAATGGAACAAGTGTGAGAAAGCCCAGAGCCATAGCCCACTTTCCAGTCAGTAGTACAAAGAAGTCCTTTGAGTGTAAACGATGAAGGAAGTTCTTCCACAACAAATGTTTCCTTTGAAACATTATTAAAATAATTTGTTACTCAAGATGCAAAAACTGTCACTGCATATCTCTTTTTTCATTGAATGCATATAAATCTCAATGTAGTGAGTATATATAACCCTTTAGATGCCTCATTAACTACAGAGAATGCATACTGAACAGAAAGCCTTTGATTTTAATGTCACAAACCCTTGACCTGTACCTCTGACCTCATTTAGTCATCAAATATTTCACACTTTTAATACACCTTATCCTGGTACTAAAATCATCAGAATGTATGAATGTGCATGAGTTGCTAACCAAGTGAGAACCCATACTGTGGTCAAGCATGAGAACTCACACAGACAAAATTAGTTCAGGAAAACAATCTGGAAAAGAAGTCTATTGTGAATCCCCAAGTTCATCTTGAGAACAAATGTGTTGTCTAATTGGGAATGTGTGGAACTCATTTAAGTATATTCTAATAAATTGATATTAGATACTCAACTAAAGAGAAAAACTTGGATCTTTATAACTCTCCAGTTACAGTTTATACTTTTCTTATGTATTAAACAGTTCAGGCAGGAGGGTAAAAACTCACATACATTTGAAAGGAATAGTAATATTAAGGGTAAAATTCGTGTTCCCTGTTCTTTTAAAATGTTATTTTATTTTTTAAATCTACAAGTTAAGAGGGACACAATTTTATGGGGATCATGTATCACATTTTGTCAAATAAAAATTCCTATGAATTGTATGATACAGCATTATCTTAAGTACCATTAAGACCTAAAAAAAAAAAAAACCTCCAAAACTATGTCATTTCATTTATTATCAGATACACCATGATTCAGATGTGGAAATGCGGGGGGTCACTGATCCTTCCAGCCTTTTTGTGATGGCTAAGTAATACCTCATCTGATGAGAGGAAAAAACATGACTGAAATTGAGCCCAAACATGCAAAATCAAGTTGTTTCCTTTCTGCCAAAAGTCTTGGAGTAAATTGCAGTTATTTCTGAAATGCTTTACTTTTCTTTTTAAAAATTTATCTTTGGAGCCTATCCATATAAAACAATTTTTTAAATAATTTCATTACCTGTGTGCTGTGGGTTTGGCACCTGTTGATTGTATTTATCCCTTAGATTTGGTCACATTTCACTGGTTCTTCACAGTTTGAATGATTTTGAATTACATTTGTGATTGTTGTGTTTTACATCCTGGTGAACAACTCTTGGGACATTTTTTTGTCTTGGAAAGAATCAGCTGGTTGTGGTTCACTCTATGTCTGTTTCATCTTCTGTGGTTGGTTCACATCTGGGCTGCTTTGGTTTCAGTCTTTCCCATGTGTGCACAGGGTTAGCCTGAGACTCTTTCAGGAAGACCCTCAGAGATGGGGGCCTCCCCTTATTTGTGGTCCCTCCTCTGGGATTTCCTCCTATTCTATATGGCCCTCAAAGTCATTTCTCCTGCTACTTCTGACCAGAACATGATTTCCTTACCACTGCCAGGCTGGTTCAGGAGAGGAAACGAAAGCACAAGAAAAAGGAAATGGGAAACTGAGCCCCGTGTAGGTTGTGTCTCAGGCTGTCACTCTTTCCAGTATCTGCCTGCTTTCGTTTGCTTCTTAGTGTTCTCAGGTGGTTGTCTTGTAAATTTTGTTCAAAGATATGAGCTCTAATCTGCAAGCAGATTGGCTTCTACCACAGCAGAACTAGAACTCTTCTGCTACATTTTAATTTTAAAATTGTTGTTTTATTTCTAGAATTTTTTTCCTGTAGATTTGTTTTTACAGTTCAGGGAATGTAACCCAGGGCTATGGGAATTCTGAGAAAGTGCTGTACCACTGGGCTACATCACCAGTCCATGTTTTTTTCTTTGCTTACATTTTGAGTCCCATATTTATTCAATATTTATCATGTACATATCACATATGTGTTCTAATATCTATTATTAGAAATCTAGTTCTTTTTTCTCTAAGTTTCACAGAAATTAAAGAATCTTAATGTTCTCAAAATTTAGGTTTTGCATTATGTAGAGTTGATCTTAATTTGGAGAATTTTGTGGGTGATTGTACTCAGGACCCCATGCTTGCCAGGCTAGCACTTTACCACTTAAGTTATGCCCATGGTCCTTTTTGCTTTTAGATTTTTTTTCTAGATAGTGTCTCATGCTTTTTCTTGGTTGGATCTTTGACCTTAATCTTACTACTCCGCCTTCCAAGTAGCTGGGATTACAGGCTTGCACCACCACACCTGGATCTGTGCGGTTTTTGAGAGCGAATTGTTATTTGCTTCTTCCCTGCTCTTGAAAACTAATGACTGGGGATTAGACATTATGAAGCACACATTTTTATTTTACTTGAAGTCCAAACTAACATGAAAGAAAAGCTGGACCAATCTTACTGTCTTCTTTGCCCTTCACCACACTGTGTAATCCACACTTTCCCTTAAGGAAACTCCTGCTTGGCTTGCCTCTCAATTCTAAGTGTTCACCTCCAGTGAACCCAAGGCCTGTGCCCTACCCTGAAAGACCAGTAACCTGTCAGTTACCTGCTTGTCACTAAGTACCCCAAGCAGAACAGGCTTGCCAGGTGGCCAGATATTCAGGTTTTAGGTCATTCTTCATGTTTGCACTGTGGGATTAAGTTCATTTTGGTAAATGCTACTATCTATTGAAAGGAATGTTGGTCTTGATTTAGGCAGAATTTGAGCAGTGGTTTTCAGAATGACTACCCTGTCCCATCCCCTAGAGCAACAATACCCACATTATATATGCGAGGAACAAAGTCCTCAGACTCACATCACACAGGTGATTATCTGTATTGCAGAAAAAGTGCATTTGGTGAGAAGCAATGACTTTATGATGCTAGAATTCTCTGCTGTGTCTGGTAGTGTGTTAGAACAGCAGGGACATTTCTAAGGTTTGTTTACATCATTAAAACTAAAATGACAGAAAGATTTGCTATGATAATCCTGTTAGTAAGGGGATACTTCACTGGTTAGAATTTTGACCTTATAGTCCTTAAAGGTGATGTGACGATTAAATACTTGAATTAACGTTCTATTCTGCCTCCCTGGGTTTCCTTCATCTTGACGTATTCCTAATCTAATAGGTTTTCATAAGGAATTGTTTGCAAGTATATAGATCACTCTTATTTTCATCTCCCTGTTTTCATTAGTATTGTTAAATAATCCCAAATAATAAAGCCTATAAATCTTATATGTATGGAACCTGTAGAGATTTTTCTAGATTTGTACATGGCTAGTGTTTAAACATTTCCTCATACAAAGGAATTTTATTGGTGGGACTGGGTTTGAACCCAGGGCTTTGTACTTACAAAGCAGGTGCTCTACTACTTGAGCCACACCTCCAATCCATTTTATGGTGGTCATTTTGGCGAGGTGGTCTTGTGAACTGTTTGCCCAGGCTGGTATCAAGCTGCGATCTTCCTGATGTCAGCCTCTCAAGTAGCATTACAGGTGTGAGCTCAGGATTACAGCACTGGTTCAAAGATCAAAGTATTGTACACACATATATAGATAGATAGATAGATAGATAGATAGATAGATAGATAGATAGATATCCTATGTTTTGTGATTAATCATTTTAAATACAATTCACTAGCTTATCCTAAGGCTATCTATCCATCAATGAGTAATTTAGCATTTATTGTCCTTCCTCCCATTGGATTTTAAGAACTTGATTATTCATTTTTCATTACTGATTAGCACCAAAGGGCTGATGGTGGCATAGCCATTGCTTACTTACATTGAGCCATCCAGATGAATAGAGTCATCATACCACAGCATTCCCTAGAAGGAAGTGACAACAAAGTCTAAGAAGTGTGTGGTCACAAAGACACTCCTAGGGAGGCTTTAGAAAGGCTGGGCTGTGCAGATGTGGGGATCACCTCCTATGCCTCCATAAGAGCATCACCCTGGAACCACTGGAGAGGGCCATGAGCTCTAGAAGGAAGACAGCCTGGAAGGTCACCAGTGTGGAAAATAAGTGCCCAAGGAAAAAATTCAGTGGCCAAAGAGAGCAGGATTCAGTGACAAACATTACATAGACTACAGTCACGTTGTGGGTGGCAATGGTGGTGTGAGGATTTAGATTTGAACTTTGACAAACAGGGGTGTCTGAGGCTGAGGGTGATGGCCTGGAGGACATCAGCAGGCAGGTGCCACAATGGAGAGCTCCCTCGTCAACCTGTACAAGGAGATCATTGATTTACATTTGTTTCCTCATAGCTCTGAGACCCCAAGTGTCTAGCCATGATCCCCGTGCCAGCAGTGTCACTAGGTAGATTGGGGCCATGTCACTGATATTCAGGCCAGGGCCTGGGCTTGTGCTTCAGAGGGAATCTGAGGATGTAGAAGAGAAGGATGGTGCTGGCCACAATTCCAGCAGCAACTTCAGAGAAAAGGCATTTCTCATGGCAAGAAAAATGTAAGGTGTTGCTTTTGTTCATGCTATGATGTAATGAAACATACCGAATATGCATAATGTGAAATGTGAGAAAATTCTTCCTCACAAGTGTTATCACCTGCATCAGTCTTAGCCACCAGTACTGCCTTCATCAAAATGTGTGTTCATCCCAGTGTCCTTTTCCCTCAAAACTCAAGTCCACCCCCCCCACACCAAAGCCAAACCCTTCTCTCTATAGCACCAACATCTCTGAATCATGACTGGGTGTGTATCCCATTGCTGGGGTGCTGTAGGTCTGAGTGTTCTGTGCATCAGTAATTCCTGTATTTAGGAAAAGTATGTCCTCATTTTTAATTCTCATTTTGTAGTATTTCAGGGGTAGGGTTGATGTATTTTCTGCTTTATCTGCTCCATCCTGAGTGCTCAGCACATAGAAAGAGTTCTACTATTGTAGAAGGTGGAAATAAGACTGTCCCATGAGCATCAATATGGTAGCCAGGCACTGTTGTAATATCACAGTGCTCTCATTTTGGTTCATAATTGCCAGATCATAAATTCAAATATTCTTTTTTTTTGGTGGTATTGGGGTTTGAACTCAAGGCTTTGTACTATAAATCAAATATTCTTAACATATTTACCAATAAAATGTTGATAAGTGTGGGCTCAAGTCAGACTGCTTGAATGCATTTTGGTTTGTATTTTTGGCTTTATTATTTTTTAATTAGCATGCAGTGATAATTGGGGTTTCATTGTGATAATCCCATACATGTGTATGGTGCACTGTGAACAATTCACCCCCTCCATTACATTGCCATTCCTCTTCACCCTTAGTGTCTTTTCCTGTCTTCCTATTCTCCACCCCCCCCCACCTAGATAGTTCCCCTCTTACATTCATGTTTTGTTTTGGGGTGCTGAGGATTGAAGTCAGGGTTTCATGCATTCTAGGCAAGTGATCTACCACTGGACTGCTCCGCAGCAGATTGCTTTAATTTAAATATGTAGTGTGTCACTTATTGCAAGGGCGACCCTGAGCAGTCACTTAACACATTGAAAAATACAAATAATAATGTTATAAATATTCTGGAGATGCTATGAGTTTAAAAAGAGTAAACCCAATGTGGAAGAGCTAGGTGCTGGTGTCCTGTGTTTATAATCCTAGCTGCTCTTGAGGGAGAGATCAGCAAGATCACGGTTCAAAGACAGCCCAACATGGAAGAGTTAGTGGAACATATGATCCCTATAGAAATGTCAGCTGTCATTTTTATAATTATCTAGTTCTTTGTACATGTGACTTATGGGAGTTAATAGTTACTAATTTCCTAGTATCCCTACAAAAAACAAAGAGGAGGAATGAGTACAAATTAACAGACAACTGCTCATAATCTTTGTAGAGAGAACTCTGGTGGAATTTTAGATCTTGCTTGGTTCTCCTAAGATAACCATCCATCTGATATATTTAAATTTTTCATGCCAGAAAAATGTAGTGTAAGTGTGTGGAGTCAGTTATCAGTTCTTAATTGGAATGTGTTCAAGTCTTCTTCTTTCTCCATTCTTAGGTATGTAGAGTCGGGTTGGTACACCACATTTTAAAAGGATTCAGGGTGTTTTGATTAATATCCAGGATCATTCCTATTTAGGGTTTTAAGGAGAGGACAAGTATCCCTCCACCCTGAGAAGTGGTTGTCTGTAGGACTTGAAGCTTTAGTGTCTCCTTCAAGTAAGTGATGATATTTCTCCAGACTGGAGAGGCCCAAGCATAAAATTTTACTAGAGATTTTGAAATGACCTACTTCATGGACTATTTCCCACAGAATGCATCTATTCACTTTAAGTTTTATGAACGCAGGTACATAATATTGTAAAGCGAATCCAGTCGCCTGTTCTTGAAGTTTTAGCTGGTCATCAGAGTGGAAACCTAAATTGTTTTCACAGCTACTCAGAGCATTGTGGTCCCATGAGTTACTCAGATAAAGAATTCTGAGGAATCATGAACTAAAGTATTCCTAGCCCGAGTAGCAATACTTATCTCTGACAAAGTAGATTTCAAACCTACATTGATCAAACGAGATAAAGAAGGACATTCCATACTAATAAAAGGGGAAATAGACCAAAAGGAAATAATAATCATCAATCTATATGCACCCAATGTCAACGCACCCAATTTCATCAAACATACTCTGAAAGACCTAAAAGCATATATAAACTCCAACACAGTGGTTGTGGGAGACTTTAACACCCCATTATCATCAATAGATAGCTCATCCAAACAAAAAATCAATAAAGAAATCCAAGGTCTAAAATATGCAATAGATCAAATGGACCTAGTAGATGTCTACAGAACATTTCATCCAACTTCTACACAATATACGTTCTTCTCAGCAGCCCATGGAACCTTCTCCAAAACAGATCATATCCTAGGGCACAAAGCAAGTCTCAGCAAATATAAGAAAATAGAAATAATACCGTGCATACTATCTGACCACAATGCAGTAAAAGTAGAACTCAACAACAAAAGTAAAGACAAAAAACATGCAAACAGCTGGAAACTAAATAACTCATTACTTAATGAAGAATGGATCATCGATGAAATAAAAGAGGTAATTAAAAAGTTCCTGGAAGTCAATGAAAATGAAAACACAACCTACCGGAACCTATGGGACACAGCTAAGGCAGTCCTGAGAGGAAAGTTTATAGCCATGAGTGCATATATTAAAAAGATTGAAAGATCCCAAATCAATGACCTAATGATACATCTCAAACTCCTAGAAAACAAGAACAAGCAAATCCCAAAACAATAGAAGGAGAGAAATAATAAAATAAGAGCTGAAATCAACGAAATAGAAACCAAAAAAACCATACACAGAATTAATGAAACAAAAAGTTGGTTCTTTGATAAAATAAACAAGATCAATAGACCCCTGGCAAACCTGACTAAAATGAGGAGAGAAAAAACCCAAATTAGTAGAATCAGGAATGCAAAAGGGGAGATAACAACAAACACCATGGAAGTCCAGGAAATCATCAGAGACTACTTTGAGAACCTATATTCAAATAAATTTGAAAATCTAAAAGAAATGGACAGATTTCTAGATACATATGATCATCCAAAACTGAACCAAGAGGAAATTAATCACCTGAATAGATCTATAACACAAAATGAAATTGAAGCAGCAATCAAGAGTCTCCCCAAAAAGAAAAGCCCAGGACCTGATGGATTCTCTGCCTGAATTCTATCAGACCTTAAAGAAGAACTGATACCAACCCTCCTTAAACTGTTCCAAGAAATAGAAAGGGAAGGAAAACTGCCAAACACATTTTATGAAGCCAGTATTATGCTTATCCCAAAACCAGGCAAAGACACCTCCAAAAAGGAGAACTATAGGCCAATCTCCTTAATGAACATTAATGCAAAAATCCTCAAAAAATAATGGCAAACCGAATTCAGCAGCACATCAAAAAGATTATTCACCACGACCAAGTAGGCTTCATCCAGGGATGCAGGGGTGGTTCAACATACAAAAATCAATAAACGTAATAAACCACATTAACAGAAGCAAAGACAAAAACCACTTGATCATCTCAATAGATGCAGAAAAAGCCTTTGATAAGATCCAACACCATTTCATGATAAAAGCTCTAAGAAAACTAGGAATAGAAGGAAAGTTCCTCAACATTATAAAAGCTATATATGACAAACCTACAGCCAGCATTATACTTAATGGAGAAAAACTGAAACCATTCCCTCTAAAATCAGGAACCAAACAAGGATGCCCACTATCTCCACTCCTATTCAACATAGTACTGGAATTCCTAGCCAGAGCAAAGAAGAAGGAATAAAAGGAATACAAATAGGTAAAGAAACTGTCAAAATATCCCTATTTGCAGACGACATGATCCTATACCTTAAAGACCCAAAAAACTCTACTCAGAAGCTTCTAGACATCATCAATAGCTAGCAAGGTAGCAGGATATAAAATCAACATAGAAAAATCATTAGCATTTCTAACATACACAATGTAAACGAAAAAGAATGTATGAAAACAATTCCATTTACAATAGCCTCAAAAAAAATCAAATACCTAGGTAAACCTAACAAAGGATGTGAAGACCTCTACAAGGAAAACTATACACTTCTGAAGAAAGAGATTGAGGAAGACTATAGAAAGTGGAGCGATCTCCCATGCTCATGGATTGGTAGAATCAACATAGTAAAAATGTCTTACTCCCAAAAGTAAATCTACATGTTTAATGCAATTCCCATCAAAATTCCAATGACATTCATTAAAAGATTGAAAAAATCTACTGTTAAATTTATATGGAAACACAAGAGGCCACGAATAGCCAAGGCAATACTCAGTCAAAAGAACAATGCAGGAGGTATCACAATACCTGACTTAAACTATTACAAAGCATAACAATAAAAACAGCATGGTACTGGCACAAAAACAGACATGAAGACCAGTGGAACAGAATAGAGGACCCAGATATGAAGCCCACACAACTATAACCAACAATTTCTTTGACAAAGGAGCTAAAAATATATACGATGGAGAAATAGCAGCCTCTTCAACAAAAACTGCTGGGAAAACTGGTTAGCAGTCTGCAAAAAACTGAAACTAGATCCATGTATATCACCCTATACCAAGATTAACTCAAAATGCGATCAAGGATCTTAATATCAGACCCCAAACACTTAAGTTGATACAGGAAAGAGTAGAAATACTCTGGAGTTAGTAGGTATAGGTAAACTTTCTCAACGAAACCCCAGCAGCACAGCAACT